CCCATTCTTAGGTAGTGGCTAAGGGGCACAGGTCCTGTCACCTCCTTTGGAGAAGCTCCGTTGACGGTGTTTTCATCCTTATTTTCCCACTGCTGTACAGGACACAGATGGGGACAGAGTGGAAGCATCCTTCTTCAAATACTTCTGTCTCTGGGGCTGGGAATGTGACTCAGTGGTAGAGTGTGTACTTGGCATGTGCCCGGCCCCAGGTCCATTTTCAGGCACACACACAACAGACAAATCCCCCCACCCTTTTTCTTTATATCGGGGATTGAACTCAGGCCTCTCGGCCACTGAGCCACATCCCAGCCCTATTTTGTATATTACTTACAGACAGGGTCTCACTGAGTTGCTTAGCACCTCATCACTGCTGAGGCTGGCTTTGAACTCATGATCCTCCTGCCTCAGCCTCCAAGCCACTAGGATCACAGGCGTGCGCTACCATGTCTGGCTTAGAAATCCCATTTCTTATTTGAAGTACTCGAGATCTTCAGAACAACTGGAGTTATTCTGTAACATGCACACATTTTTATTTTACTTTTTCTGCACAGTTTACGAGCTAATGAACTGCATATTGTTTTGTCCTCCAAGAAAGTATATTCAAAACTTTTTCTCTTCTTTATGTTCACCGAGTAGAGATGCAGTTTCCGTGGGTCAATTTCCATTTTTCTCATATCCATACTCATTTGTTTCAAAAGCCCTTGGCCTAGAATAACACTCATGCTTTAACAGAAGCTCTGCAGTAGCTCAATATGGATGTTTTGCACAGGGGTGGATCTGAATAGATTTGTGGAGTAACACTGAGTATTTTCACATAAATTGAGTCCAAATTGTTGACCTTAATCTGAACATAAACATAAAACATATTCCAGGTTATTTTTAGGTAATAAATTAGCAATATTATATCAACAAAATACCAACATTTCAGAACTTTTAAAACAGCATAAGTCCCCAAAACCAGTATTGCAATGACTATTACTTATGGAGTATTATTTATAGACAAAGAACCGGGAGATTAAGCAACTTGCTTGAGGTCACCCAGATGGTAGTCATGTATCACTTAATGATGGGGACACATTCTGAGAAACACCTGTGAGCTGATTTTGTCACTGAACAAACAACATAAAGTGCATCTGCACAAACCTAGCCAGTGCTGTCAGTCACTCCACCCCAGGGAAGGGTTAAAGAGTGCATTAAATAAACCAGTGACACAATGGCTCATTGTCATCTGGGAGCTGCTGTATAGTCTACATAACTGTGTGTGCTCTACTTTTGTAACCGCCCAGGTCTGCTTACACCAGCATCACCACAAACATGTGAGCGATGAGTTTTGTCACAACGTGGCAACTGCAACAGGGTCACCAGCTGACAGGAGTCTTTCAGCTCTAATCTGATGGAATTGTCATGACATATGCATGTGGCCCAGTTGACAGGAACATCATTATGTAGCACATGTCTACAGTAGGTGGCTTGGAGAGCATGAGAAACACCAACCCACAGGCTTGGTCACACCAAAGGTTGTTCAGACACAGAGCTCTAAGCTGGTCCTTCCAGACCGAGGCTCAAGGGCACAGGGAAGGGTAGAATATATCCAGGGAGGGGTTAGGGAACAAATCAGAATCCACCCCCCTGAGGATAACCTCAGGAGGGGTTGGACATTCAACTTGGCCACGGGCGCAGGTGCAATTATTGCTGAAAGCCCAGTCCTTGTCCCCAATGCCAATCCAATAATGAGGACATAGTTTTGAGAAAAAGGAAAAAGGTTTATTGCTTTGCTAGCAAAGAAAAAACACAGGGGACACTCCTGTCCCAAAGGCTGTGATTCTGCCCATCCACAGGAACAGGGGGCTTTTATAGAGGTCATTCAGAGAAAATGAGATTTGGGAGGAGAGATCAGGGAGGAGAAGGTCAGGAAAAAAGAAGATCAGGGAGGAGGTCAGGAAGAAGATAAGGGAAAAAAGATCAGGAAAGAGAAGTTTAGGGAAAAGATTGGGAAAAAGAAAAAAACATGTCAGTTTCAAAGCCACAAGGACACAAAGTATCAAGTGAGCCCCTGTCACACAATGTTTTGGAACTTTCTGGAGTTGCTGTCAATCCTCTGGATCCTGGGTAGGAGATGGGTTGTATGCCGGAGACCAAAGAGGGGAGTTCCACAGACAGGATGATCCAGGATTGTGCCTTGGGTGCTGGCTGGGTGGGAAGGGGGATAAGCCAAGAGGGGAGAGTGACCCATGGAAGGTCCTAACTGAGAAAACCTCAGCCTTCCTAGAAGCCTTCCCTTCTTTTCCATCATTAAGGACAAATGACCCCATTCCCCCCTCGGGAGGACAGCATGACTCCATCAACCTGGTTCCTGTCCTCCAAGGATGTCACCCACGGGGCTGGGACTGTGGCTCAGTGGTAGAGCGCTCGTACAGCACCTGAGAGGCCCTGGGTTCGATCCTCAGCACCACATACAAAGAAAGATGTTATGTCCGCCGAAAACTAAAAAATAAATATTAAAATTCTCTCTCTCTCTCTCTTAAAAAAAAATAACATAAAGGTATTGTGTCCACCTACAACTAAAAAATAATTTTTTTTTTTTTTTTAAAGAATTGTAAGGCCAGGGCTGGGGTTGTAGCTCAGTGGTACAGCACTTACCTAGCTCCTGTGAGGCACTGGGTTCCATCCTCAGCACCACTTAAAAATAAATAACAACTAACAATATTAAAAAAAAAAAAGAATTGTAAGGCCATTCATGAATGAACATTAGCTGGGCCTGGTGGCTCACACAAGTAATCCCACTACTTGAGAAGCTGAGGCAAGTTCGAGCGCAGCCTCAGCAACTTAGTGAGACCCTGTCACAAAATTAAAAAATAAAAAGGGTTTAGATGTAGCTTGGTGGTTCAATCTCCAGGACCAAAAACAAATAAATAAACATTAGGGGCTGGGGATGTGGCTCAAGTAGTAGTGCGCTCGCCTGGCATGCGTGCGGCCCGGGTCGGATCCTCAGCACCACATACAAACAAAGATGTTGTGTCCGCTGAAAACGAAAAAATAAATATTAAAAAATTCAAAATAAACAAACAAATAAATAAATAAACATTAAAGTTTGGGGGTGTGTCTTAGTGGCACAGCACCTACCCAGCATGTGTGAGACCCTAGGTTGGATCCCCAGCACCGCAAAACAAAAAATTGCAAGGAGAGGAAAAAAAAAAAACACTGGCTCTTGTCTGAGCACTGTGCTAAGAGGTGTATACTGCATGATCTTGGGCCAGTCACTTTCCTTTCATGGGTGGCTGCACAGCTGTGGAACATATTTGGAAATAACAGACATAAAACACTCATAATGGTGCCAGACACATAGTTTGTACTTAATATATATTACTATGTGCTGAGAATCTTATAAATATATTTATCCATTTAACCTTTACAACTTTGAAGAGGTAGAAGACATGGTCCCTTTATATAGATGAGGAAATTGAGATAAGAGGTTAAGTTGTTTCAAGTCATCTAGACAGGAAGAGGTGGAGCTCAGGTCAAGGGGTTCCAGGTTTAATCTGGGTATACTACATAGCAAAGTGTTTATTACTTGGAAAGTCAGAGAGACAGACAGACAAACAAAAAAAATGAGTTAACAGCAGTCTGTCCATTCCTGTGGTGGCATAAAGGAGTTTTTAAAAAGATACTTAAATATAAAAGTACTGGATAAGGATATTGGTAAGATTCCTAGGTGATTCCTAGGATACCATATAAGAATTCTATGGATATAGGGTCTGGGCTTGTGGGCTGGTGATATAGCTCAGTTGGTAGAGTGCTTGCCTCACATGCATAAGGCCCTGGGTTCAATCCCAGCACCCCCCAGAAAAAAGTAGAGTCTGGGGTTGTGGCTCAGCAGTGGAGCGCATGCTAAGCACATGTGAGGCACTGGGTTTGGTCCTCAACACCACATAAAATAAATAAATAGAAGAAAAATTCTGTGGATACACACACACACACACACCCCGGGAATTGAACCCAGGGGCGCTTTATCACCCATCTTCATCTCCAGTCTTTACTTTTTGTTTGGGGACAGGTTCTTGCTTGGTCGCACAGGCTGGCCTCTGGCCTCTGACTTGCAGAAGGGTCTGCGTCTGCCTCCAGAGTTGCTGGGATTGCTCGCGCGTGCCACAGGCACCGTGCGCTTGCAAGGAAGGCTCTGTTAGGCTGTGCTCAGGACACATCAGGGTCGGCCAAAGCTGGCACAGTCCGGGGCAGCAGTACCGCATGTTACCACCATCTCACTCACAGGCAGAAAGGCCGTCGGTTCTCACTACGTACCCCCTCTCTCGCTACAGCTGGAGGATGCACATCTGCATTCCATTGTGCTCCAGCGCGGTGACTTCTGCAAAAGCGAGATGCACCGACTCCCTCGCTAGTTAACCACAACCTGCGCTCTCAGCCAAACCCCCGCCCCACACAGGGACAGCGAGTAGAGCCCGGAGGGCAGAACCTGTGACTGGCGCAGCCCGTGGCCTCGCACCACCTTCCAGGCCCTCGGCCCCTGGGCACCCACAGCGTGTGACCAGCTCCGAGGGTCTCCGCCTAGAGGAGGTGGCCTCTACTTGGGAGTTACCCGGCGACCACTTGGCCGGAAGAGGTGTGCCCGAGTGTGGGGCGCGGAGGAGCAGGGCTCGGGGTCCCCGCCGGCCCGGGGTACCGAGGCCGAGCCACAGTAGAAAGCGCCGCTCGTCGGAGGGGGCCCGGCCGGGCGGGGTTGTGTCGGCGTGGCGGGGGCAGGAGGCGGCCGCGCGTGCAGCGGCGGGGCCAGCACACAATGGGCGGCGGCGGCCGTCCGGACGCGCGGCCCCCGCGTCGCCGCACCACGTGGGCCGTAGAGCGCGCCGGGTCAGCAGCGGCCCGTCGGCCCAGGCCGGGCGCGGCGCGGCGTACGTGCGCGCGCGTGCGCGTGCGTGCGTGCGATTTGCGATCAGGCGGTGCAGCGGACAGCCCCGGCGGCGGGGCGGGGGGAGTTATATTGCGGGGTCCTTCCTCGCTCACCCTGGTTCCTCTCGGAGCGGAGACGGCAAATGGCGGACTTCGATACCTACGACGATCGGGCCTACAGCAGCTTCGGCGGCGGCAGAGGGTGAGGCGGGCGTGCGCGGGTGTTGCCGGGCGCGGGGGCCGGGCCGCGTCGGGGGTCCCGGGGCGGTGGTCTCGCTGCGCTCGCCTGGGCCGGCGGGAGGCCGCGGCCGACCGGGCCCGCGGAGGCCTGGAGCAGCGCCCGGAGGGCCGGGGCCTGGAAATGGCGCGCTCGGGGCCGGGGCGCGGCGGTTGGCGCCGGGGTCTTGCTCGAGGGGCAGCGCCCTCCTGCTGCCCCGGCGCTGGTGCGGGCGGTGCTCAGGCCGCACTGCCGGCCGCGGCGACGCTGAGCCCGGGCCCGAGCACCGCTGGCAGCCCCATCCCCCGCTGGAGGGCGGGCGCGGGGCTCGGCTGCAGCGCGGGTGCGGGCCGCGGCCTGCCCGGTTCGGCCGACCTCCCGGGCTCGTTCCGCCCGCCGCCGGGGCCCCGGCCCTTGCAGAGGAGGCCGCCAGGCCCGGGGAGGTCGGAGGCCGCGAGAGGGGCGATGCCCCCGGGGGCAGCACGGGGGTCGCTTCGTGGCGGGCGGCCCAAGGAGGGAGACCAACGAAAACAAGTGCATCACAGCGGTGTCTGTGTCGGCGGTTCTCCGACCGGAGCGCCGTATTGACAGCTGCCACGTGCTTGCTGGTGGAAATTTTTATTTCTCTCTAGTTTTCTCGTTCTGACCTGGAGACGGAGTCGCGTGTAGCCTCGTTACGATTCTGGTCCAATGCAGAAGGCTACATTTAATTGAGGCGCCGTCGTTGAAAGGAAAATGTTTGGTGAATCGAAAGCTCATGGTGTTTAATTCAAGGAAATCACCCTGTTTTGTTTTTTTTTTTTAATTTCAAATTGCCGCATACAGAATTTAGAAGATAGGCTGTAAACACCTTGCTGTTGGTCAAGGACACACTTGGTCTTTGTGTCCTTTTACAGAAAGGATTACTTTCCCAGAATAGCACCACAATAGTACCTACTGAGGTGTCCAGTCTCCCAGGTTGCTGTCCAGAAAGTATCTTTGTTTGGTGAAGAATGATCACTTTTAATACCTTGGTTTGGGAATGGTTCAAACAAAGGCTTCTTTGGGTGCCGGAGTGAACCCAGTGTGGTGACAAGCATGGAAGCTGGGATAGGTGTGGAGCCACCTGCATTTCAAAGAATATTTTATTTGCTAATAAAAAGGAAATAAATGTTGGATGACGTAAAATTAGCGCCTTTGGGGTAGTTTTCTAGACATTAAATTTGGACTTTGGTCGTCTTGAAATTTTAATAGCGAGGTCTTTTTTCTAGTTTCAAAAGACATCCAGAAGTTCCAAGAAAAAAGAATAGTTCAATTTAAGGCAGGTCCAAGGAGGTTTTAGTTGAATTGGGACCACATTAGCTGGTCATATTATACTGAGCCTAGAGATTTATTTATTTAAAATATGCCTTTGTTGGATATGCTAGTTCTTTGGTGACAGTGAGGTGTTCAAGATGAATGCATGTCAAACTTTGATAGTTGAAGGAGACTTGAACAACCCAAAGTAGAAAGTGATCAAAATGAATTTTATTAAGATGCGTTTCATTTCCAATACCAGCAGCCATGTGAAAATGGCAGCTATTTGCCCACCTGTGCTCCTAAAGCTGAAATGAGCCACTCTAGAAAGTGCCATGCATCTTGTAAGCTTCCTACTGGAAAGTCCTTTACTACATCTGTATCTGCTGTGTCTGACCTTGGAATTGTTCACTTGGCTTCATAGTGATGTAAAAGTCCATAGGAAGTTTTGCTTAGTTTCTTTTGGGGGTGGGGTGGTACTGGGGTTGAACCCCAGAGGTGCTCAACCATTGAGCCATATCCTAGCCATTTTTTATTTTGAAACAGGGTTTTGTTAAGTTGGCTTGAGGCCTCAATGAGTTGCCCAGGCTGGCCTGGAACTTTGGATCTTCCTCCCACAGCCTCATGATTGCTGGGATTACAGGCATACACCACCATGCCTGGCCTTGGCTGAGTTTCTTAAAAGTAGTTTTTAAAACCTGTTGTTGGGTTTGTGTGCCCAATTTATACATGAGCGGACTTCTAGTTATTCTCTGAAATTTAGCAGCATAGTTGACCACATATTCTTCAATGGTCATCTGAGTTGCCTTAGATTGAGTAATAATACATCTCTGCTCTAAATCACTTAGATCACAGGTAAAAGGAATAGCAGGCTTGTAATGAATAGTTATGATCTGAAATCCTGGTTTTGAGTTAGGTGGTCCATATAAGCTTGGTGTTTGTTTGTTTGTTGTAGATGGACACAATGCCTTTATTTTGTTTTATTTTTATTGATTGCTGGGGATTGACCAGTACCTCATCCATGCCAGGCAAGTGCTCTACCACTGAGCCACAACCCCCCCACACACACATAAGCTTGTTTTGCAGTTGTGTTTGATAGCCAGTGCAGTTGTAGGGAGGTGATATTTACCCCAAGCCTCAACAGACATGTCCTCAGCAGCCAAAGAGAGAACCAGAGACAGCATTGTTGTTCAACAAGAAAAAAAAAAAAAAAAAAAAAAACAAAATGCCAAGTTATCAAGAGTGAATTGTATCAGATCTTGAATGGACATTGTTTTGCACTTTGCTAAATTATCTTTGTGAGGTTCCAGTTTTCACTTGCCATTGATAAAGTACAGAGAAATCCTGATTTTTACATTCCAAATGTCAACAAAGTCTTATGAGCACTTAACTGAACACCATCAATCCTGAAGCAAAGGTTGGAACCCAGAGGTAGCAAGAAATGAGAATGTACCTGCTAAAATGTGGTAAAGGTACAAATTCAAGTTTTCTTGAAGTTGAATGTGGTGGCACATACCCATAGTCCCAGATACTCATACTGAGGTGGGAGGATTGCTGGAACCTAGGAGTTCAAAACCAATGTGCTGAACATAGTAAAAAAGTATTTCTTTGAGGTTTCAGTTAGGGAGCTAGAATTCTAGCCTTTTGGTACTGGGGATTGAACTCAGGGGCACCACTGAGCCTTACCCCAGCCCGATTTTGTTTTTTATTTAGAGACAGAGTCTCACTGAGTTGCTTAGCGCCTCCTTTTTGCTGAGGCTGGTTTTGAACTCCCAATCCTCCTGTCTCAGCCTCCTGAGACACTGGGATTTCAGGCATGCCCCACCATGCCCGCTGAATTCTAGCCTTTTAAGTTGAGGGACTATCAGGACAACTTACCTAGAGGTCCTGGTGAAGAAGGGTATTTTTAGAAGTCATGTCGGTGGAGAAAATTTCAAAAAAACCAAGTACAGCTAACTTAATGGAAGTATTGGACATTATGGGTCATTAAGCCCTTTCAAAAATCAAGCAAGGGTGCCTAGCACATGTGAGGCAGTGGGTTCAATCTTCAGCACCACGTAAAAATAAATAAATAAGGATATTGTTCCCATCTGCAACTAAAAAAAATACTTTAAAAAAATCAAGCAAGCACTCACTCTGAGGCCACAGCATGCAAAGGCAGGGAGTGCTGCCCCCAAACCCTAGGTGAGCTGGGTGCTGGAGCCTGATCTTGGCCATCTGACACCCCTCCCCCACAATGGCACTGAACCCAGGGCCTTGTACATGCTCCTTGTTCTGTAAGCACTTTACCACTGAGCTACACCCCCAGCCCTCTAACCATTAAGTACTTTTTTTGTGGGGGGTTGCCGGGGAGAGATTGCGCATGCTAGGCAAGCACTCTACCACTGAGCTTCATCCCCAGTTCTAAGTTTTTTTATTGTGGTAAAATATACATAGCATCAAATTAACATTTCAACCATTTTAGGTGTACAGTTCAGTAGTATTAAATTGATTCACAATGCAGTGCGCCTGCCCCGCCCTCCATCTTCCTGACTTCACCTGGTAAAGCTAAAACCCTGTACCCATAAACAGTAATTCCTCACTTCCCCTTCCCCAAGGCTCTCACAGCCACTATTCTACTTTCTGTCTCTAAGTATATTTTAAGACTTAAAATGGGAAGGAAAGCAGCATGTAAAAACTATTGTTATTTCTACTGATGCTGCCTGTTTGAGGGGTGGGGCCCAAACACAGGATCTTTAAGCAGGCATTCTGCCACTGAGCTTTACCTCCAGCTGGGTTTTTTTTTTTTTTTTAATAATTTGTTTACTCTTTGACCTACTAGACACTATTGTATACCATGCATATAGAAACTTGGCTTGTCCCCTATTCTGTCCCCTGCCTGAAGCATAGGAGATGTTTATCAAGTGTTTGTTGAATGAATGATTGGCTTTTTTTTTTTAATCAAAAATGGGGCTGGGGCTCAGTGGCAGAGCACTTGCCTTGCATAGGTGAGGCACTGGGTTCGATTCACAGTACCACATACACACACAAATAAATAAAGGCCCATCAACAACTAATTTAAAAAAAATCAAAACTTTCTCTTCCCCTATTCTTATAATAATTTTTTTAATTTGATATATTTTTAAAAATTGTTCTTTTTAGATATACATGACAGTAGAGTGTATCGTGACATTAAACCTATATGGAGCATACCTTATTCTAATTAGGATTTCATTCTTGTGGTCTGTTGGGTTTTGTTGGCAGTAGGGACTGAACCTGGGATGCTCTACTCCTCCCCCCACCACCACCTTTTTTTTTTTTTTTTTTTTTAAGGCATGGTCTCACTGAGTGGCTGAGGCTGGACTTGAACTTGAGATCCTCCTGGTTCAGCCTCCTGAGTGGCTGCATCACAGGCATGCACCGCTGTGGCACCTGGCACAGCTGTTTTGTTTGTCCAGTGTATTGTGTGTCTGTGTTGTCATCCCCTCCTCCTGGATGTCCCTTCCATGAACACTTGAATTCCACCCATTTTGTTCACTACCAAGTCCCTGAGCTGTGTGCAGGCCTGTGACGGAGCCAAGCACAAAGCCATGTTAGAGGAAGGAGAGTGCATTAAACTGACTGAGAGTGGTACAGGAGGCCTCGGGTGACATGGGACTGGAAGGAAGGGAACTAAAAAGACTAAGAAGGAAGGGTGGAAAGGCTCATTCTTAATTCCTGTTTACTGTCAT